AGGCAGGCAAGGGGAGGGGTGTTGGTAGGGAGGGAACCGCGTGCTCTTCTCCCCCCTGTTCCCTAGCTACTTTCCTTTTTAAAAAGTGCTGATCCTTTTTTTCCCCCCCCTTCTTTTCTTCTCTTCTGCATCCAGGGAAAAGTTTGAAGACTCTTATGTCCAAAGGAATCTTACAGGTACATCCTCCAATCTGTGATTGCCCTGGGTGTCGAATTTCGTCTCCAGTGGTAAGATTATTGTTAAACTATGTGCTTTAGTTAAGACATCTCCCCTCTCCTCCGCCTCCTTCCCTTAAAAAATCCCTTTGCTTCTGTGATCACAAAGCTGTGATCTCTGAGGGCTGGGAACTATCAGTCACTGAGTCTTTGCCAAAGCACTGCTTACACTGGGAGTATACCTGCAGTCTAGTTAACGGCTAGCAGAAGAGGAGTTTGCAAACAGAGCAGATTGTATGGTTTTCTGGGGGAACTATCTCAGCTGTACGCAAATGGCAAATCATTTAGCAGCCGCTTCCCCATCCTCACCCGGGCCTTTTTTGTGTATTTTGCAGAGGAGTAAAACGGCTAAATAAAGCAAAGGGAATTACAATTGCACCCACATGAGAGAGTCAGAACAGTCACACTTTACAAACCATTAATGAATTATTTTTAGATAAACTGAATGAGTAACAAGCTCATCTTAACTCCTCACAATTTCACCACGTTCTTGTCGTAGATCACAGTTATTGTTTTTGTCCGTCTTTACTGTTTTTATCCAACTTTGGAGTTCCTCATGTTTTCTGCTGTATGCCTTTATCTTGAGGACTTTTAAAATCTCTGTTTGACATCAGTATTCTCATGAAAAAGATGTTGATGCTATGAATAAAAAGAAGTTACTGAAATTATAGTCAACTAAGACATTAAAATCAGCTCACTGATGCAGAAATAACCCTAAAATACAATAACATTTAAACAGGATGGTAAAGCTGTTGGTTCATGGAACTAAACCAGGTCTTAGTCTGGAAAATCATCAGGACTTAAACATCGTTGTCCGTAGCACTGTGGAAACAGATGCAGCCTGAGATTTATTCATTTTTATCCCCCAAAATAACCATTTTCTTCTTTTATTGTTTCTATGAGGACTGAAGGGCGATCTCTTTTGACGTGGAGTATCTTTATGATTTTGCGCGATAGAATCCCTATTTTAAATGATTCCTGCATGGTATATATGTGCATATATATGTGTTTATGTATACAAACATACACATTGGACATGGGAGGGGGCTTGGCGCAATACTCAACAGTTACATAAATTAATATGAAGACATCATCTGTGTGACGCGAGTCTCCTGAGTCTATTCTGTGGAGCAGCAGCTCATACCGAAGTAATAATAACCGCACGTTGAACATACTAGTTGTACGGCAGCATCATCATGGTATTTTAAACGTAGCGAACCAGGTGGAGGGAAACCTGGCCTTTCTGGAGGACACATGTAGTTCCTCTGGGTTTACGGGGCAAAGTCTGATGCTGTGTAATATTTTTTTTTGCAGTTGTGAGTTTTGCTTGTGCTTTAGATGCTAATCATACGGATCAGAGGCCCACAAGCAGTGGTCTGCAGACCAAAGTGACTTGCAGAGCACTTGCTGGTGCCGCTGAGGAGTGCCTGGCCAGGTGATACTGTCTGGTGGTCGTTTCTAGGTACTGAGCTGCATTAAGTGATAGTCAAAATGACACACGCTACTTTCTTAACAGAAGCATTTGTAATAATACTTGCACAGGGATGCTGTGCGTTTCCAAGTGAGAAGATAGCTGTGCATGAAACAGAGGCCATATTAAAGTGTCTTCTAAAGTAGAACTGCGTTTGAGAAGCCCAGACAGATGAAAAGAGAGGTTTATGGAGTTTTGGAAACGGAAAAACGTATCCTTCTGGACTTGCCCCTTAAACGCTTCCCCAGCCAAATGAATTAGGAGGCGTTTTGCTGACAGAATTCACACAGCAACTAGCTTTTGTTCCCGCTCCCCTTTTTAGGGGAAGGGAGGTTGGCAGTACAATCATCCTGATTTTGGCGTAATTTCTCTTACTCTGAAATGATATCAAAAAGTGATTTTTAAGTTTTATAATGCTGTTGTGAAGATTGTATAATTTCCACTAAATAATCTACCATTAAGAATGAACTTAAAAGAAACATGGATTTCTAAAATTAATGAATACATCCTTTTGATATGAAATGATCTTTAAAAATAAAAAGTGAATATATTAGGGTATTTTGTACTCATATGCCACCTCCCCCAGTTTGCCACATTTCAAAGCATTTGGCAAATAGTAAGAGAAGTGTTATTACCCTATTGACAAAGGCGCCGACTGAGGTATTGGTGCTGTTTGGAGATCTGGTCTACAGAACCCTACTAGCTTTCCAGGTTTCAGCCAGGCTCCATACCATTCAAATCCTCTAAAATCAGTCCCTCATCCCTCAGCGAGATCCATAAAACTGGCCTCTAGTGTCCACATCATTATTAACTTCAGAGGCACATAGCTCTCATTATAGACCATGGACTTCAGTGATCTGCTGAAGGTCATACAAAAGAAAATGGTGGCAGGACTGGAAAAAAGACGCTAGCTCTCTTGTACTCTTAGTCCTCTACCTCAGCCACAGTCATCTTTCCTCTCTTGGAGCACGTCTTGTAGATTCAAGATTTATTACTCTTTCTGCGGCCTGTGAATGTGAGACTGACTTGTGTTATTGTTGGAGGTATGGGAAGAAGGAGGGACACCATTAAGAAAAATGGGACAGCGTTATCTGAGGACTAAACCCAGCTTGCCTTATTTGCTTTAGAGAGGTGCTGTTGACTGTAGATGCTTAATTTTGAAGGTGCTCTAAGACAAGGCGTTTTAGAGCAAGAACAAACCCCGGTGAGAGGTTTTATCAGAACTGCGTGTAACATTGCTTATTGCATTTTCTGTGCTGAAATGGGAACATATATCTGGCTGAAGGACAATTGCACGTTTTGAACCTGGAGCCTTTTGGTAGCGCCTTGCAAGAGCTGCATGCACCACTACACGTTCAGAACAGTGACACAAGGAAGGGGGTCAAGAACTGGGCGTAGTTCACCCTTTGCCATTTAGCGATCACAGATTTAAGTGCCACTCGGATCAGAGGACTGTCCTCATATGTAGACCCGCCTTGTCTTTTATACTGTAGATAAGTATGGAGATGTAGGTGTGCAAGAGCTGGATCCTTGTGCTACTATGTTATCAAGCGGGGAGCGTGGAGATGGGGAGTTGGTTCTGTCAGCAGCTGTTCCTGAAAAAAAATGGTCTCTGCAGTGGGGCAAGCCAGCTGCTCGTAGGCATCTGCATCTTCCCGCCGCTGCTAACTGCAGGTTGAAAAGGAAGTGCCACAGGGACCTGGCCCGGCTCTTCCTTCAGGAAAGGTTACGTTTCATGTATCTATCCAGCCCTGCCTCCCCTGTCCAGTCAAATGTGTAACGTCCGGGGTTTTAGTCAAGAGCAGCGGCTGTTTGGGGGCCCAGTCTGGGTCTCGTTTGGAGCCGGGGAGAGGAGGGGCCGGTTTGGGAAGGAAGTCGCACCGTGCCGCAGGCCCAGGTTGGAAAAGACGCCGAGGAAGCAGCGCGGCGCGAACGCCCTGCGCCCGGCTGGCCACGGGCTGCGCCGGCTCCCCGCAGCGAAGGCCC